AAAACTAGGAGTGAACTAATGGCAACTTTCATCGCAGGTGAGATGTCAAACTGGACAACGGAACAAGATGTGGCTACCTGGTTGAGGTTGCAAGAAGAAATGGATCCCCCGGTTGGAGAAGATGGCTTTGATGTGGGCCAATCTGATGATGAAGCTGAATCCAAGTGTTCGCTTGACAATTAATCATGCTTTTTCTTTTTTATTCACTTGACTCTAAACATTTCCCTCTTCTTGATCTTAATCTAACACTACTTAATTTTCGTTGTAGTCTCCCGGTGGTTTATCTAGGACTCAACGCTTCGTCATGCAACTATGGGCCTTATGCATGGTGGTTTATCTGAGCCCTGCTCATGTCCTTTTTTGAATCTATTGCTATTTCTGCTACCGTATGAATCATGTTTTTGCTTATGTGCGTTCTGTCATGTATGTGTGTTTGTCACTTATGTATGTAATATTTCATGTACGTGTATGTTTTGTCATATATATGTCCGTGTTTTGGCCAAAACGTATTAGGTTCTATGGACCTTCATTCATGACTTCTTCATGATGAGCCCCATGTCTCCTATGATGTATTGTTGTGATTAAGTTCAGACACTTTACCTTTTGTTTTGACGTTTACGTCGTCTTGCATTTAGGTTTCGACTCGTCATAGTCCTACAATGATACGACACCATTGAAGTCGGTCGTTGGCTTGAGGCTAGGCCAACGGCCCTCCAACGGTCAAGTTAGTAAATGGTGAATTGTATTTGTTATATCGGAGATAAACTAATTACTTGTGACTTTGTGCTTTCCTGCATTAAAGTTATTATTAGGGCTGGTCATTGGCCTTAAGCCAACGGCCCTCCGATGATTAAGTTAGCAACGTCGTTTTTTGATAAAAATAATATGTGAAAGACCATAAAATAAATTAAAAATGGAAGAGCTTTAAGTGTACCGCATTCCAACTTCGAGGAACTCGTTTACCATCAGCTGATTCCAAACGATATGCCCCCTGTCCGACAATGTCAATGATCTTGTACGGTCCTTCCCAATTAGGACTAAACTTATTGGCCGCCTCGTTGTCGAATGCCCTCCTTAGGACCCAGTCGCCTTTCTTGAACACTTTGGCCCTGACATTTTTATTATAGTTTTTTGCCACCATCTGTTGATACGTCTGTAAGCACAGCTTAGCCCGTTCACGGATTTCATCAATGGTATCCAGGTCATGCGCCAATTCCACAATTTTCAATTCTTCGGTCATGAGCCCATATCTCGAAGAAGGTATTTCAATTTCAGCAGGTATTACCGCTTCTCAGCCATATACTAGAGAGAATGGAGTCTATCCGGTTGCGTTTCTTGGAGTTGTCTTATCTGCCCATAGTATTAACGGAAACTCGTCAGCCCACCTGCCTTGTGCTTTCTCGAGCCTCTTCTTTAAGTTGGCAACAATGATCTTGTTGATGGATTCAGCTTGTCCATTGGATTGCGGGTATCTGGGAGTTGACGTTTCCAACTTGATGTTGTACCTTTCACAGAACCGTCTGGTCTTTGCACTTATGAACTGAGATCCGTTGTCGCAAACAATCTCTGACGGAATACTGAACCTCCAAAGTATGTTTCTTTTGATAAATGAAATTACCTGGTCATCTCGTATCTGACGGAATGGCTCAGCTTCCATCCATTTTGAAAATAATTCGTCATTGCCAGCATGTATACTTTTTGCCTTGGTGCCTCTGGCAATTTCCCGATGATGTCCATTCCCCATTTCAAAAAGGGCCATGGTGATAGGACTGGATGAAGTGATTTGGAGGGTTGATGACGGATTGATCCATGCATCTGACAAGGCTCGGATTTCTTCCTTCGCCGACTCTAGCTGCGCATGAAACTCAGCCAACAAAGGGTTATCATCGACCATGTTGAATGATCTTTCTTTTGCACGATGCCCCACGGTGGGCGCCAAATTGTTTGAGAAAGAAATTAACAATTTATATAACAATCCAATTATTCTAATATGGGAATCGTACAAGAAAGAATTTAATGAAATATAATGAGAAATTAATACTAGGATTTTGATTGATGAATATTGCTGTGAATACAAGAGTATCTGTGAGCTTTTGATTAGTATTGATCATGTCCATCTCCATCCGCCTCTAATCTATTTAAATTAAAAATCTTGCTAGCTTGCAGCTCAACTGTCCGTCAAAATAGCATTCACTTCCTCCTTTTTTGCAACGTGTGATTTGCCTCTATCTCCAGGCGAGGTTATCTGCTCAAAACCGTTATTTGTTTATTGGATCTTTAATTATTTGGAGCTATAAATAACTCAGGCCCAAAATATTTCTTTATAGTACGAGTCGGCCTGCTAACAATTCCGGGCCCAACAGATATGAAGGACTATTATGCAATTATATAGTACAACTTTTAAGACGAAGCTGACTTGGAACGAAAATCAAAGGAATTTACGCCACTGTACAATGCGAATGCACCAGAAAGCTATTCTTTTTCTTTTAGCTTGGCTGAAAATCATGAACAAACATGTCTCTTATCTGGCATTACAATTTACAATGTCGTCTGAATTGTAAAAAATTCAACGTACAAAAATGACACCATAATTACAGATTTACAGCAAGCAAATTAACTTTGCACATGGATATAGTACTCCATCCTCAATTATCTTCCAAATTTCTTTTTCATTCATCTATAAATAATCTTCTTTCCCAATTTTATAAAAATAATTATAATTTACGGCATTTATTACACATTCACTTTTCTTTGCACAACTCTCCACGACATTATTCACGCTTTATTAATTTCCATGCAAAAGTCACTATAATTTAGAGTAACAAACCCTTAACGTATTAATTCTAAAATGGGAAAACATAAATACTACTCCGTTTTTACGATATTTTGATTGTGTTTTTTTTGTAACAATATTACATATTTATGACTAAAATAAAGATTTTTTTTTAAAATGTGACTCGTGACTAGAGTAGTAATGAAATCATAGTAACTTATGTTCAATTTTTGAACTTAAGTTACCATGACACTTCATTATAGTAACTATTAATCATATTTGTGTAATTACTACATCCGTCTCGAAAATAGGTTCCCACTTTTCTTTTAGAGCATGTTTGGTTCGGGATAATCACATGTGCATGACTGCATGCCGGAATCTCATACCCGCAATGTGAAATGTCCGTGTTTGATTCGCTGGTTTGATTTTTGGGGAGAAATTTTACATGCCCAAAAAAAGAAGAAATTAATGACATGCCCCTTAATCTCAAACTCACTCACCTCTTCGGTTATCTTATATTCCGTCGTGGGGATGAACTTTATTCCAAAAATACTCATTCTCATTTAACCATAATGGTTTAGATACTATATTTAGAGCCCGTTTGATAACACTGAAATCAACCAAACACAAATAGGATACAAATTGAATACATTCTCATTCATCTAACATACTCAGCAATCTGACATTGCCATGATAATCTGTTATTCGTTGAACCAAACGAGCACTAAGGATTAAGGAAACAACTTTTATTTTGAGAAAGGAAGTAAGTTTTATTTTGCTAATATTTTTGTAAAACCCCATTTTTTAAAACACATTTTGACTATATTTTAATGGGAGATTTACCTAAATAGGATTAACTCTTCCTATTCTACCCTTTCCTTTGTCTTGATAATAGGATTTTTAAACAATCATTATAAAATATATAAAAAATCAAAATAAACAAATTAAAAGTCGTAAAAAATAATTAAAAAATACATAGACCTCAACCACCACCTCAGCCACCTTCCAGCACTGCTACCTTCGGTCGCAGGAAAAGATTGCCAAGTTGAAGAAAAATGTCATAATGATGGGAATTTTGAAGAGAAAGCAACTGATAGCGGAATATTTTCAGAGTAAAAATGTCATCTTTATGACATTTTCAGAAAAATGTTGCATTTTTTACACAAGATGGCATTTTTTTCCGACGACCGGAGCCGATGGTGCTTAGAGTTAGAGAATGCATTGGCAGTGACCTACATATTTTTTTAAATATTTTTTAGGTATTTTATTTTATTTTTTAGGCTTTTTTAAAAAAAATTAAGTTATTTTTTTATTTTTTTATTTTTAATTTATTTTTCACGTTTTCATTATTACACCCTCTGTCCCTTATAACTTTGTCATATTTCCCTTTTTGGATGTCCCAAAAACTTAGTCACTTTTCCTTTTAATCAATGAACTTGTGATTCCTGTTATTTCTATCTCCTCTGCACATATCTCAATCACACAATTTTTACTTTATTATTTCTCATGCGGTCAAACATGACAAAGTATTGAGAACGGAGGGAGTATTTTATAAATATTTTATTATTTTTTATATTTGTATTATAAATAAAACTATGATTTTGTCATTAATAAAATAAATCCATTGGAAATTACAAGAAAGAGGTAGAATTAGGGATGGACCCGGGCCGGTCCGATTCCGGTTCCGGACAGGGCCCAGGCGGGCTTTTTTTGCAAATCCTTTGGCTCGGAACCGGTCCGGGTTGATATCGGGTCGGGGCCTAACCGGGCCGGGCCCGTTTCAATGTCTGTTTTTTTTTTTGCTTTCTTGTTATCCCCCGACCCCCCCCCCCCCCCCCTCACCCCCCACCCACCAAACCTCTCCAAAACACCTAGCCCTACCCTAGGAAAAGAAAAAACTTGAGAAAAAAAAAATTGACCCAGGCCCGGCCCGAACCGCCCGGGCCGGTTCGCCCAAAACTGGGCCCAAAACCGGTTCCGGGCCGGGCCGGGCCGGTTTAGTCCATCCCTAGGTAGAATAGGAAGAAGAGACATATATTGATCCTATTTTGAGAATAAAAAGATTGTACTTCTATTGTTGAATTTTGGACTTATTTTAGTCCTACCAAGAGCTAATACCACTGTTTTAATCCTCTCAATAACACAATAACATGCATAATTATAGAACACACCATTGTTTAATTGAAGGTGACGACTCCGGTACCTTTCTAAAAATTGGGGTACCGTACTTACCATTCATTTGATTGGACCACACCACTTTATCATTTTTAATTTAGATTTAAATAATTCAACTGCTACATTCTCATTGGTCCAGGTGGACAAAGGTATGATACCTTATGGGTAACATAGAATCTACCTTAATTGAATACTCCTATTATAGAGGATAAGGATACTAAATAGGGAGTAATAAATAACGTGCATAACTTTTCTATTTTCCACTGTGGTTTATCGCCGTCAACCGCCGTGATTATCATTCAAACCAAGTGCCCTTCAACCCTTATATTTCTTTTATGCGGAATATAAAATAATAAAATATAAAAAAGATACATTCTAAAGATATCACTGCTACCTTGTTCCCCCAAACTCCACAACTAACCGAAGTAATCATGGATCATCATCTGACCACCGCCAAGGTGGTGGTGGTGGTGCTGCTGAAGCTGTTGAGGTTCCTGTTGCTGCTGCTGCTGCAATTGTTTCTGCTGCGCCACATCAGCACCCTGCCTCAACCCCAACGTCAGCGACACCGACCCGATATTGTTTTGTTGGTAAGGCATGAAACCCATCAACTGTCCATCCATACCCGAAGGAAGATGACAGTTGAGCATCCTTGACTGTGGTTTTTCACCAATGCATGCCACCGGGCCCATCCCCGAAGCTCCTCTTGTGATCCGAGGATCGGTTCTTGAGGATTGGGTGCTGTTTGGGCTGTTTTTTGATGGGATTGCACTCTCGGTTGCTGAGTTTGTGCCAACTTCAGCAGCCTTTCCAGCTGCATTTGAGCCCTTTTCAGCCGCCATTGCCTTGGTCTCAAGGCTGTGTATCTCTTCGACCATTGGCTTCCAGACTCGGACTCGGGCGTTGATGAACCAATTTGAAACCTAAAGCGTAATCAACCATACATGTCCTCAACATATGTATTACATTATACGGAGTATACGAAATGTGAACACAGATAGCTGCATAAGAAGAATAGTTTAGTTAGGGTTCTTGCCTGGTTACGAGATAAGCCTGTTTGGGTGGCGAGCATGTGCTTGTCGGAATCTGTCGGATACCTAAAGGAATAACAACACATTGGGTGAGATTCGAAGCATAAAGAATGTGAGCAAATGCAACAAACTTCTGGATCAAGAATCTATTTGGACATCACATTTGACCCATATATACTCAATAAGCAATAATGTTGTCACACTTTTCTGGGATATTGAAATTTGCACCCTACTTAAGTTTCACCATAACCCCAGTTGAATATTTGTCTTAGACCTAGCACCACATGTATCGATTTAAATAAATTCTCCAAAAAACTCCAGCGTAAATTTGGTTGAATCAACTCTCTTTAACAAAGTAACTACACCTTGCCACTATGTTTTATAATGGAGGAAAATAGGGGTGCAATGTTTTTCCCATGTTTGGAACTTGACAGAAAAAAAGTAAGGAAGACGGAAAATAAAAGTGGCTGGTTTCTATCATTTTCTCCCGAACATGGAAAAAAATGTGAAATTTTTGTGGAAAAGTTTGGTGTTTATGAGAAATATACAAACAATTCAAATGATTAATATTCCTCCAGCCCAATCTAATTCCATTTACCATTTTCCATATTTAATATAATCAGGAGAGGAAACTTTCCAAACAAATGGTAAATGGAATTTCTGCAAATGAAGTTTTAGCGCACCCCAGGTTCCTTCCCAGTGAAAGTGAAAGGAAATGAGACTCACGGATGAAGAAAATGATCAAACAACCACGCTCTAAGAACAGAAACCGCTCGCTCAGGAAGGCCTCTCTGTGGCCTCCAAATGTGAGGCTGGGAATCCAAATAGCCCATGCTGCTACCATGCTTTTCTCGGCCGTGGTCAACCAGTTTCAAACCTGAACCTTTGCATTTACCAGTAGGGGATGATAAATCTTCTCCCAAAGCTTTGCCTGTGTTTTTGAGCTGATTTGATATGGCATTGCTCAGGGAACAAAAATTCCCTGATATTGTTTTGAGAGCAAACAAGATAAATGGGGTTGCTGCACTTAGACCTGCAACTGATTCAAAGGAAGAAACCACCATCTGCATTTGTTGTCGATATTGGCTGTACTTTTTGCAAACCTACCAAAAAACATCATGATAAATGGGTTTAGATGCAAGACATTAGATTAAAAGAAATTAATGGGAATAGGAGTAAAATATTATTAAGGTGCACAAATAGGAATATCCTTGTTATGTGCTAAAATAGGACTATTCAGTACTTGAAAGGGAATAAAAGAAAACATAAACTCTTCATTTAGGGGACGGAGTGACTCTAATATTTAGGTAGTGAATCTTTGAGAAATGAGTTACTACCACTCTCCTAAAAAGGTTTGTCATATAGATTTTTCTTAATCAATGATGGTAAAGTTTAGAACATTTAAATGAGTTAGTACCACTCTCCTAAAAAGGTTTGTTATATCATGAAGATTCTTCTTGGTCAATGATTTAATTATTATATTTGCATATAATTTATAAATTTAAGCTTTTATAAAAATATTTTAGATAAAGAACATTTTAATATAATTTTCTTATTAAAACAAATTTTATTAAAATATCATTGGTCAAAGTTGGATATCATTGACCAATAAAATTCAATTTGGCAAACTTTTTCTAGACAAAGGGAGTACTATTTTCTGTTATTAATAGTTATTTCACATGAATTAATTAATCAAGGCAAACCTTTGTGTAATGTTATCCTTCACTTTAGATTTTATTATGAAATTTACCTCCTCTATTTAAATTTCTGTTATTCCATTCCCCTTTGACGTTTAAAATAACGACGCCGAGGGACTCGCTAAATTGAAGCATGGAACAATTTGTGGGCTGGATTGTATACATTATAAAATAAAGATGAAATCACATAATTAAGAACAATACAAGGGCCACACCATCAAACAATTTTTTACAACTAAACATGGGAATTATATTGTTAATTTCACATATAAAACTGCCCACTGAGAGAATCATATAAAAAAATTGCTCATGAGAAAAAACTATTATTAAAAAATCAAGTTCTAAAAAAAGTCAAAACTTGTAAAGCATCCACATGCTCGTTGGTAGGTATCTGTTAGGCTTTTATACAGCAATGAAGAACTTTAGGTTACTGGTATCTACTTTTATAAAGCAACAAACAAATAAGAATGTTTGACATTTTTTCAGTACCATCATTTTGAGAGAGGTCATAATCCCCGATTATATTTCATTAACACATGCATTTAATTATCTGAGCTCAGTTCAGAGATGTGAATCTCAGTCTACAGATGCGGAACACAGTTAAAGCAGAAAAAATCAGAAAGAAGGTTGTGAATTAGTGCAGCCTTACAGCTTTGCACAGATAATAAGAAAAGCATATAAAAGTAAATTCAGTCCTATTAAATTAGAATCTTTTTCTTCTTTTTTCATAATAATAGAGCTAGGTAAAAAAACAAATGCAATTGACAAAGAATAATCAAATTGACTGAACAAGCACAGCTAGAAAAATATATCAACTTACCTCATCCTGCATGTGTAATAACTTGACCCTTGTTTGCTGATATTCAGATCTTGGGTAGTAGTCATTTGAGCTTCCCAAACCACCCAGACTCCTATTGGCTGCATTAAAAATAACATCACTGGAAAGACTTACTTCTTCCAAAACTTTCCCCGTCAGCTCGGGCATTCTTGCCATTAGGCCCGAAAAATTGCAGACTTCATCAAGAAGCTGCTGTGCGGGTTTAAGAAATCTTGAACTTCTTAGAATAGTTGCATAACCCGTGAAAGGTCCAAAAGGCCCCACACATGGCGGATTTAAATTGGAAGGTGAAACAGAAGAGAGGGACAGTGACAAAGCTTGGGCATTTGAGATGTGGGTTGCCCTCTCAAATTCACCATGCCACCCATGAGAGCCTTCATTATTAACTTCATGATCAGAAGAAGAATTCTGGTATTGAGAAGAACTGCTAATAAACTGCTGCATGTCTTCAAATTGCTTTTGGGTATATCGCCCAGGAATCTCATTTGATGGATTGTTTGTCAAAGATGTAACGTTGTTTGGCATCAAAAACCCGGGAAAGCTACCCCCAAACAACATAGGGCTTAGGCTGTTATTATTAGAAACACTCCAAGAACCACAATTTTGTGTAGAGTTATTGTACAAAGCATTATCATGAATTCTGGAAGAAGTACCAGACAGTTCTTGATTCACTTGAGTTAAGCCTTCACTCCTATGTGCTTCTACAGATTGTGAGGTTGATGCAAAATTTAGGATTACTGAGGAAGGTTCGTATGAGATATTTCCATACCTACAACTAGGGAGTTGAGCAAGATCCATGTTTTGCTCAAAATTACAAGGATAGTCCCCCAAGTATTGAAGAACATGCAAATCTGGCCTATGGGTGGTTCTTGTTTCCATCAAACTCTTAATCACTCATTCACCATAAACCTATTAAATCATACGGAGTATAAGAAACTAGAGCGGATGAAAGAAAAACAAACATATACGAGTATTACGATGTACTAAATCAAGACACCCAAATACCTAAATGAACAGGTACATCTAGGTGAAAGGCGAATAAAACCCAAGACCCGAGAAGAAAAGAAACGACAAGTTTATAAAGTTGAAATAAAAAAGAATCTTTTTTTATTCATTTGCAGTGAATAGTTGAGCTTTGTAAACTGGAAAAGCGGGAGGCAAAGACAGATTAGAAAGAGGCTTCTGAATACACAAAACCCAAAAATCAAATTAAGCCAAGAAAATCAAAGCTAGCAAAAGCATTCACTGTAATAATCACTGTTTGTCAGCGAGCTTCATTCGCACAGAAACTTTGGCCAAGAAAACCAGCAAAAGAGCTTCTGAATACACAAAACCCAAAAATCAAATTAAGAAGAAAAACACAACGAAAGAGACGATAAAAATAATGGTAATAATCACTCCTACCTCTTAGCTCACTATGAAAACCCTAACCTGTTTTCCCTCAGTTTCCCATTTCTTCTTACGCATACCCCAAAAAACAACCCCCGGAAATGGAGTCTTGAACTTCTTTCTTGAACTAAGAAGCAAGGCAAGCGAGAAAAAAAAACGATCTTTACGCCTACTCAAGACAATAGAGCTTTGAAAAATCGAAAGTCCACAACTGGCGCTAAACTATTAATCAAAAAATTCTAACTTTAAGATGGGTTAAAAGTTTCAATAACAGAATTATATAATATCGTATTACCTTAGCCATCTAAGTCAGCTTAGCTTGTTCGTGTAAAGGGAGTAATTCGTTTAGGGAATAACAAAAGGGGAGATCTTGGCCACAGTTTAGAGCAGCTTGATTTTATATTGAGTTTGTGCGGCAAGATGGATTTGGATGAGTTTTCCGGTGAGAAAAAGAGTGGGTCAGGAGATAGATGGTAAGCTAGCTGGAAGAACATTGAGTGGTAGTATGACAAAATAATGATTATAAAATGCCGCAGAGAGTGGGTGAGGAAGAAGTGTGGACGTATTTTAGGTATAATAAATACGTAGTAATATAAGGAGTAATACGGAGTGATAATAATTACGGAGTATGATAAAAACGTGTAGTAAACCCCCAAATACTACTCCCGACAAATCTTCATGTCCAGCCGGCCTCACGAGATTAGTCGTCCCGCCGAGCTTGTTTTGAGTCATTTCCGGTGGAATTGTTTTATAAAAATTTTTGTATTTGTTTTCATCGATTCTAGTTTATTCATATCAAATTTCAGCTCAAAATTCAATTGGTAAGGCAGTTAAATAATATTTTGAAAACCACTACGCAGTTTATACATATTTAAGTGCGCAGTTTTCTTAAATAATTTATTTAACTGTCTTCCGTTTGAATTTTTAGCTTAAATTTAATATGAATAAAGTAAACTTGATGATGAACATAGTCAAAAAAAATCATCAAACAATTCCACTTGAAAGGCTCGATCGAAACAACATTGGCCGGACGGTGATTCCCCTTCAGATTGGGTGGACAGGAAGGCTTATAACTTATGTACTCCCTCCGTCCCTGTTTTTTTCCTCATTTCGGCTGGGCACACTAATTAAGATAGTGGGTTTTGTGTGATGGAGAGTTGGGCAGAGGAGAGAGAAATGTGTAAGAATGTGTAAGAATGATTGTGAACCACAAATTCTTTGCCAAAAAGGGAAGGAGGAGATAATTTTAAGAAGGATGAAAAAGGAAAGTTTGAAGATAATTCAGAGACGGAGGGAGTAGTATTTATTTGAAATGAATAAATACATTTGAATTTTAGCAGCACACATAACTATGCAATATAATCTCGGGGTTGCAATTTGCAAAACTAGATGACACAGGATAAGTAGGCTGTGTTGCCCTGCCAAAGACCTGTGTAGTCTAATCCAGAAATAAGTAACACCAATGATTAATGTCTCACATGTACATACATTTGGGTAAAATTAATGTTGTAAGGTTATGTAGACTACTAGTTGATTTTATTACGAGTAAAATTTATGAAATTTTTTCTGAATTCGTTCAATTCCATAATAATAAAAAATTATATGAAAACAACTAAAATGGTCATCTATATTAACTTTAGTCAAGGGAACCATAAAAGTATCTTCAATCTTACATTTTCGTATTATTACACAATTCAGTGCGCGAAATTAAAAGTTATGTGTTTAGTTAAAGAGTTGACTATTAAATCGAAAACAAGATCACCAAACTATCTTTTGTACGCGGAAAAGGATTAGTAATAAGTGTTGAACAACTAAGCTAGTATATATGGAGTATGAGATTAATTTAATACTACATCCGTCCCATTCAAAGGTTCCAAACCATTATTCACATGGTCAACTTAAACTATTTTTAATCTTTTGCTTTATATATCAAATTTTTATCAAATTTAAATCTTCTTGATCAAGTTTGGAAAAAAAATTACTTCGTATTATAATTTTTGAATATATAAATTTTATTTACTAAAAATAATTAGAGTGTGAATAAGGATCAAGTTGCTTTATCCAGGGGCGGAGGTGGAGGGCTGGCCAACCGGGCCCCGACCTAGCCCACATTTTAAAATAGCTTATATTTTCAATGTAAAAATTAATGTGTAAACATTTATCAAGCATCGTAAACTGAATTGGAAACCTCTCTATGGGACAGCAGGAGTACTTATTTGAGAGAGATAGTAAAAGTTACTCCGTATGATTGTTAGTATTTATAATGCTTATTTGAGGGTAGGGATGGCAATGGGGCAGGGTTGGGGTGGGAACACTTTATTATAATTAGGCTTGGACTCGGTGCGGGCCACTCGGCCCGGGAACCGGCCCGGCCCGCTACTGTGTGGGACCGGCCCAGCCCGCTACTGTGCGAGACCTGCTCGGCCCGCTACTGTGCGGGACCGGCCCGGTCCGCTACTGTGCGGGACCGGCCCGGCCCGGGAAACCGGGTCCGGTTCCGGTTTGGGCCTAGGCCCGGGGGGTGTACCGGTATCGGGCACGGGTAAGGGAAAAGGGGAACCGGCCCGGCCCGGCCGGGCCCGGTTCGGGCCTTTTTTATTTTATTTTTTTGATTTTTTTTGTTTGGGATAGGGTTAGTTGGGCTGGGTATTTCCGAGGGGTTTGGGGGGTTGGGGGGATGGGGGGTAGGGGGTGAAATAAATAAGAATATAAAAATGAACCGGAACCGGCCTGGCCCGGAACCAGTCAAGACCCGGGCCGGTCTCGCGCCTATGGATACGGAACCGGCGGCCCGGTCGGGCCTAGGCCCGGCCCGGGCCCGACCATAATTATAATATTTTCTGAATCCCTTCATTCAATCAACCATGGTCATTTCACAACATTTAAGACGACCTATGATCACCAGGTTTTTAACAGCCCTAACTATAATCATAAAGATGACATTCATAAGAAAGGAATTATACTAATGCACTATAATAGTAAAAGAAGAAAACATTGACACTGTGTCTGAGGCGTTTAAGCTAATATCAATTTATAACTTTCCAAATTCATTTACTTTATATGATTTTGTAACTAATTTTACAAGATAGTTGAGTTATTAAACAAGAATTCGATAGACCCATTAGCCACAACCCATTAGATAGGAAACAACTAAACCCACCGGGACACCATGCTATTTTAATTACTTCATATTAGTAATTACATATAACTAAAATGAAGATTGTACAAAAATGTGACTAGTGACTAGAATAGTAATGAAATTATAGTAACTTATGTTCAATTTTTAAACTTAGATTACTATGAGACTACGTTGTAGTAACTAATAGTCATATTTTTATAAAATAAATTTTATTTTAGTAATATTTTTGTAAAAAAAACTCTTATTTTTATTAGTATTATTATTATCGTGATCGTTATTATTAATAATTATTATGTGTATATATACGGGGGACATAACCCATCATCTGTCCCATATTTAAGCAGGGAGGAAATATTTCTCCCATCCTCATACCCACCCCACCCCACCATCCGCCCCAACTTCCCCCCCACGGGGCGGTTCCCCACGGGTCCCTGCCCTCATTGCCATCCTTATTTGAGGGATATAATTAGGGGTGGGCAAAAGACCCGATCCCGTTGGTCCGTTCCGGAATGTTCTGGTTCCGTTCCGAAATCGTCCCGTTATATTTGGGTCATATTATTTTTGTCCTGTATCAGTCCCGAACCGTTTCAAAACAAAATGGATCCGGGACAAGTAAAATATATCATGTTCCGTCCCGTTGTCCCGAATCCAAAATTGTACTTTGTAGTAGGTTAGTGTGGTCTACCAACAACTCATCATGTAATCCAAATAATAATAAATATCCTTTTTTTTCAAACCAAATGCGAACAGAGCACCTAAAAAATTCTAAACTACCTAGTATGAACTATGAGTTATCATCTTATAGTATTCTTTTATCATTTTTACAGATTTATTGATAGTTTTTGTGTTAGAGTTTTTTCCCCTGCAACTTTTGTTTCTTGCGGCTAATTTGGTAGATTGCATTTTTTCATCACAAATTTCTAGATTAGCTGCAATTTTTTTGTCATAGAGTTTTTTTGATCTAGTTTTTTTCAAATAGTTTTGCTTCATTTTTGGGATTGGTTTTTTTCAGTACAATTTTTTGGGATGTCCCGGTACCGGTTTAAAAGGGACAACAAAAGGACAACGTCTTGTCCCGTCCCATTCCGAACCGTTATTCTAAATGGAATCATGCTCCCTCATACCAATTCATGTATAAATATACTACTACGTACAATTAAGAGAGAATCCCCTAAGTAGGAGTAAAAAAGTTTTGAAATTCCAAAATAGGAGTATCATGTTTTTATTCCTTGAATAGGAGTAAATTTCTGTCAAGTTTGGCATTACTAGGTTTTAAAACATGGCATTTTTTCCTAAACTTAGCAGATTACTCCTACTCAGAGAATAAAAAACATGATACTCCTATTTTGGAATTTCAAAACATTTTTGTTCCTATTTAGAGCAATTTCTAAACTCTCTAATAATGTATGTTTATATTTTACCTTTGCATTTCCTTTCAATCTTCCACAATCGCGACGATGCTTTCTAAAAAGCCCATTAAGTAACATTAAAATTCGCAGAATATGTGAAATATGCATATATTTTAGTTGAAGCGGATAAATTTGCTGAATCTATTGAATTATGAAAAAGTACTTATATAATTAAAGTATATTTTATTAATAAAGCAAATAAAAAGCTATCTTATAAATTAGATATACCTGTTCAATATTAATTTAACAAAATTGCATATTTTCTATATAAAAAAGACCTATATTTGAATTGATTCATTTATGGATCGGAGGATAAAAGTGCAAAGGGATTTTATAAAATAAATCTAAAGTCTAATAGCAAAATTAGTTACATTTCTCATTAAAAGTAAATAAAAGCAAAACTAGATATGTATTTATTTGTATATGAATAGTAGGTTATATTATTCAAATTCCTAATTGGTATGGGTCTTTAGTGGGTCGAAATTACATGTATATAAAAAATAACATGTTCAGATCAACGTCAGGCCGGTAAACATAATAAAATATAAACTCATATACATTATAAAAAATGGGTATGAATCGGGTTTGAGGCTAAACCCAATCCATTGACACGCTTACTCATAATAGCCGTTCACTTTTTATAATAGAGGATCCTCTTTTAAACATAGATGGTTGTGATTTTGTTATGAAACCACATATATCATATGATCAGTGATTAAAGGACGTGAGACCTGACAAGGCATTGAGGTCAAGCCTCAAGTTCTAAACGAAAATAAGCATTATGGTATCTAATTATCTATTGATAATTGCTATGGCCAAAATATCCAAAATATATTATACAAGATTCAAAGATTGATCCTAACCTTTACATTGTTCAATATATACTTTGTATAATTTTTAATGTATAACAAGTGTAAATATAAAATGGTACTACTTACTATCTATATTATTACTGTTGAAGTTAAGTCTCGTAGATCCGAAAGTCCAACACACGCTTTGGATATTTCAGGATG